CATGCACCAGTTGCCAGCTCGATGCACATCCTTCCACTCATGATCAGGGGATAGCATAGGGGGTTGCAGATGGCAACAAAACAGTTGTAGGCCATGACAGCCAGCAGAAAACAGTCAGCCCCAAGAAGAAGGAAACAGACATCTGGACATAGCAGAGGATGTGTAGTGTACACATAGTGAGAGGATGGGTTTGTCTGTGAAGCAGTGGACTAAGGCCTGGGGCACAGAGGTGGAGGTGTAGCACAGGTCCAGGAAGGAGAGGTTGCTGAGGAAGAAGTACATGGGGGTGTGGAGCCGAGGGTCAGCCCAGACCAGCACAAGGAGGAGGCCATTCCCCAGCAGGGTGAGCGGGTAGATAGTTAAGAGTAGCCCAGAGAAGACAGCCTGCAGCATGGGTTGTTGGGACAAGCCCAGCAAAATGAGATCTGTCACCAGTGTTTCATTGAAATCCAGCATGTCATCCTGGAGCAGCATCTGTGAGTTGGAGAGGACATACATGCCCTTGAGGTAAAATGACACACAAAACCCAGTGCTACCCATTCTCACACAGACCACCTAACCCCATGCAGCCTGAGAACTAGGAATTACCCCTGGCCACAGTGTAATACTGACACACAGAGAAGATCTGGCTGAAGCTATTTCACTAACAGCTTTGGATGAAAAAGCTCTGAAGAAAAGTAAAGGCTTTGCATGACCAGGTCAGTTCCTTGATTTTTGTTTTGTTTTTCAACAAACACTTCCTAAAGGGAATGAAAACACAACCAAGAAAATTTTTTCTATTCCAATCAAAATGAAACATTTCAACCTTTTTTAAAAAAAAAAGAACACGTAAGCATTTACAGTAAGGCATTTCATTGATGCTTCCCACATCCCTCCCCGCCCCCTGTGAATTTCATGAAAATAAGGGAAAGAAAACCAACATTCCTTTCTCTGTTCTTGGAAATACCCTTTTTCTGCTAAGCTGTGATCTGGACCCGATACATGAGCATAGGTGAATCACCTGCTGCAGAGCACTGGGCAGGCAGCAGACAGGGCAGACTGTGCACTGTACCATGCCTCCTCCCCTCCCTTTCCCCTGCTCTTGTGGCACTTCACTACCCTTTGCACCAGGACAATTACTCCACTCTCCCGTACTCTAGCACATGGGAAGCACACCAGTGGTCTCTTCCTGCAGTTTCTCACAACTGGGGGCATGTTACTAGGAAGGCTCCTGGAAATGCCAATGCCACATTCCTGCATGCAACCTTATGGGCTAAGTATTGTTTTGCCAGCTGGTCTTTGACCTGCCTGTAGTGAGTCATTTGCCTACATGTAACTGTGTGAGTTCAGTGTAATTTCCTACTCAAATGCACTGCACAGATGCAAATCAATCTGACTTCACTGGAGATGTAATGACATTGATTCACTTACGCAACTTGGTATTCCCCTAGTGCAGGGGAACTCATAAGGATGGCAAATGTGGCCCACCAGGCCATTCTATCTGGCCCATGGGGCCCCTAAAAATTTTAGAAAATTAATATTTATCTGCCCCTGGCTGCCTGTCATGCGACCCCCAATGGCTTGCCAAAATTCAGTAACCGGCCCTACCCCCGAAATAATTGCCCACCCCTGCCCTAGTGTCTGTCTTTACTGACCCAAACACTGACTATTTCACAACCCACATAAGACAGCAGCCTGAATTTGCTGCAACTTGCAATTTGCTGCAACCATGGAACATCTTGCGATGCAGTGTTTCACTTTCCTATGGAAGACAAGAGTCCTAGGAAGAGCAGTTTTGTCCAGCCCCTGAACTAACCTATGGGACCCTACTTCCTATTAAAGTGGAAGGACAGATTTTGGATTTTCAGAAAGATTCCTAAACTTTTTGTGTAGCAAAAAAAAAATGTTCCCTGTTTTGCATGAGCTGCCTTTGTTACCCAGCAAGAGCTCCCTGCTGCAGACAGCATACAACCATGGTTCTCAACCTTTTTAAAACAAGATACTCCTCAGAAAATGTC